CCATCCTTATTTTTTTATGCAAGATATTGTACTCATAGTACAAGAAAATTACCTTGACAAACTTGAACATCGCTAAAGGGAACTAGTAATAATCGTTTAATACTCTTCGCAATAAAGAGAACGAAGTAATATCGATACGGAATGAATGTGCTGACGTCATGTTCTGGATATGAAACCCGTACCGGGCTTCTGATCAACAACTCCCGCCAACGTCGCGCAAAATGGCCGACTTTAATTGTCATTCTTTCCATAGAGTATAGAGGAATGGAGGACGGTATAATGATGAAATCAATTAAAAAATATATTGAACGATTTGCAGTTATTATTGAGTAGTAAGAGTATTGTGCTATTATTACTTACATTAATACTGGCAAAATATTTTTTAAAACAGACGTGAACTAGAATTTATTTATCTAAATTTAACACAGAAGCCATGTTCTTGCTTTTACTCTCAATGATTTCTTATGATTATTTCTCTTAATGGATGCTTTTTACGAATTAACTTACGCATGAATTAAAAATAAAATATGTAGTTGATATTAACATTTTATATTTTTTAAAGGATTCGTTCGTAATGCGATCATAAAATATTAATATTCATATGTATGCACGAAGATGTGTAAGTACATACGTAAGCGGATTTAATGCCACATTTATTCGTTATCCATGGAATTATAATTTATAAATCGTAATATAAATTCAATTTTTGAATATTTACAAATTTTCTTATAAAATTCCATATTTCAAATATTAATATGTCGCCTATAAGTCACCTTCATCATAACCTAATAGACGAACGAACGAGTTTAAGTATTTCTATTTATTTATTATATATATTATTAAGCCATTTTTATTACAGTACTTACTTAGAGATATTTATTGATCACTTACATTAATTATTAATTTAACAAATTTAAGTGGTATATAAAAACGAATACAACAAAAAGAGGTTAGCTCTGTCTGCAGCTCAGATTATTATGTAGATTACAGTATTTTTTATTAATAAAATTTTACGTCAAACGACTGGATCTAGGATGACTAAGGATAATTTAAAAAAATATTTTAGATATCCCTTGAAAAACTGTTTAAGAAGAACCATGTAGAACCCATCTCCGGACGTGGATTTCTAGACATTGATGCAGAATACCTAGCTGTTGATAAGTAATACTCATAACCACCGATGTATATCGATTTCCGAGATAACCAAAACATTCTAAATATATGTATCTATTAAAACAATTGCTACACCTGAAAGACATATAAACAAGACTTTATAAAAACAAGGTACATAAATACATACAGCTAGGTGTATACACAACTAGCTCTGTTTCGTAGATTTACAAGTAAAAGCATATTTGCAACGAACGTTAGTACCTCATATCCGCATTGTCATGCAAGCCACCTAACTACCAATATTGCTACAATAGATGGAACTAGTTCGCATCTAGTATCTAGTACATACCTAGACTCTAGATGCGAGCTAGCACTTGGTTAGGTTTCGAATTGTACGTGGGTACTGGATTCTTTTTCCTTTTCTTTAGAAACAAGACAATATGCAATGTTGTTAAACTGTTAAGTGCCAATAAATTATTTGGTTTAAGAATAGATTTTATCTAAGATGGTATCGTATAATACATAGTATGTATTATATAAAAAAAGTCGTGGTGGCCCGGAGGTTAAGGCACTCGCTTCTCATGTATGAGGGTGCGGTTTCGAAACCTGGCAAGTACCAATGTGACTTTTCCGAGTTATATGTACTTTCTATGATTATTTAGACACCACTGACATACGGTGAAGGTAAACATCGTGAGGAAACCTGGACTTATAATTTCTAATTATAAGTTTGAAATCGCCAACCCGCATTGAGCAAGCGTGGTGATTAATGCTCAAACCTTCTCCGTGTGAGAAGAGGCCTTTGCTCAGCAGTGGGCACTTATAGGCTGACGATGATGATGATGTATTATATAAATATTACATTGATATATAAAATGTATAATGGTAAAAGACTTAGTTTGGAAAATGAAACCCTATTTCAAGTGTGGGAGAGCCCATGCTTTGGCAAAGGTGGGTCGGCTCGACCGGCTCGAGATGAGATACCACCGCTTCACAGAAAACAACCATAACCTTCTGTTAAGCAGTTACTTTACCGGAGGCCCAATCCTTAAATCTTTGGAACCCTTATTCTCAAAATGCCAACAACACCCTTGTAACTCCTCTGGTGTTGTGGGTGTCCATCGGGGGCGCCGATTGCTTACCATCAGTAATCCGTCTGCTTGTATATCACCCCTATCATATAAAAACATGTTGGGTAAAAAACTGTAGCCTTTTACCCGAGAAAACCGAATGAACAAAGCTACTTTATAATTCTAATTAACTTATGTAAAGCCACACTTTGTTTGGCGCTCAATTAAAAATTCAGTTTTCTCAAGTCTTAGCCAACGGTTATGTGTTCAACGGCTTAATTTCCTAAAGCTGCTTATCTCACACTGCAAGTTAAGGGTCAGCCATGAAAATGGGTCAATGTGGTGAATGTGAGGCTACCCTCACATTCACCACATTGACCCATTTTAGGGTTTGTCCGTAATCTACAAATCTGTAGGCTATCGATGGCCGTAGCCTTTGACACTGATTGTCTAATTGAGAGCACTGAAGTTATAAGGTCGAGTATAGACGCAATATTTATATAAATACTAGCTTTTTCCCGCGACTTTTTTCGCATGGAATAATTAATGACTTCCTGCAGATTTTTGAAATTGAAATTTTAAATACTAATCCTATGTTTTTTCATAAATTCCAAACTATGTCTGTACCAAATTGCACATAAATAGATTCAGTACTTTAGGCGCGAAGAAAAGACAGACTGACAGAGTTCGCATTAATAATATTAATTTGGATGTTTGTTTTTAAAGGTATTATGTGTATATGTAATGTTATACAAGATTTTTTTTTTGTAAATTCGTGTAAATGAACTGTATATTAATTGACCTCAGGTAGGTTATACCTAGCTAGAATATACGATATTATTTTCAAAATAAAACTTCATATCTACTTTTAAAAGAGAATAAAATATGTAAAATTAAACGAATCCTTGTACGCATAATTAGATTACATCTAGCAGTTTTCGTTTCATCATTAATTTATAATGTTTACAAAACTCAATGGTTGAATGAACAAAGAACAAATATCTATTGTTTGAAGCTTTGTAGCCTGCCAAAAGGAATAAACGTAAAACATATTTCTGTGGGCACTATATCATTTTCCAAAATAATTCGCTATGACTTGTTTTACGGCTACCTAATAATACTTCCTAACAATGTTTACACAACAGGCTAAAAACGTATTGTTCGTTCAAAATTTGTCTATTAATAACAAATGCAGTTCTTAAAACTGACTGAGTTGCGATTAATGGTAAGTACTACATATTTTGATTTTCGCGCCAATTTTTCGATACCACAAATTCATAGTGCTAAAACCAGGTTTGATATGTACAGGTACAAATCAAACTAACTTAAAATATGAAAAAAAAAACAAAAAATATTCAAACAGAAACGTTTAGTACAAGCAGCTAAGTTATTAGGTTTAAAAGAATAAGTACCTAAAGTAAGAATGTAGAAATAATAAATAGTAGATTGAAGTAACTAGTGATTGGTCAAGTGTAATAATATACCGCGACCTAGGCCTTGTACAGCAGAAAGATCCGGAGGCCCAATCCCTCCTCAATCCCTAAACCTCCAAATCCCGAATCCCTAAAAGATCGGCAACGCACTCGTAACTCCTCCGTTGCGGGTGTCCATGGGCGGCGCTGATTGCTTACCACCAGGTTATCCGTCTGCTCGTTTGCCGACCTATTACATAAAAAGAATGGTTTTTAGTCAGTAAGTGTCTGACACTCTCGCCCAACCCAAAGCAAGAGAAGACATTTGATGATATTCCCAAACCCATAACAACAATAATCCTTTGATTAACTACTAAGTTGATCTATGCCTATACCTATACCTATAAAAGGTATGGCTTCGTTAAGAATAAAATATACTATAATCACCTAACAATAGCTTGTTGCAAAGAGAGTTACGGAAAATAGTTTTCGAGAATTTCGGAGTCTTACTGACCAAATATCAAGCCCTTTCCTGCCAGGCCGGGTTATAGGTATTTTTGCATTAGCACCAGCAACCAATGCATAAAAATAACTAGGTACTGCCTCCGAACAGAATGAAACTTTATTTTCTTACAACGAATAGGTAAATCGGCTGATTGTACATACGCGCAATATATCGGTCACAATGGATGTAATTTAGGTACATTTCATACTGTAACAGTATTAAAAGTGAATCTCTACCCACATCTTAAGTCGCATGTAATTTTTTCCGTCTTTCCCTCAGGAATTTTGTTATTTGACCTACATTTTGCTGCTTTGCTCTGCTTTAAGTGCATTAAATATATTATTCATCAAGTTGGACAACAAACAAAAGAAAATAGGATAACCTCATATCAAAAATTCTACGCATTTCGTGTGGCTACTAGTTCCTTAAGTTACAAAGAACCATGTTTAATTTACATGTTTTCGTGAAAAACACTAAAATTTTCCTTAATATTAATTTATTACCGAGGCAAAATGCAATACTTATAATTATGTATACATAGCACAAAGTACCTAATAGTTTTCTTTTTTATTTTATTTTTTGCTCCCTCATCCGTTCCTGCGCTGTATGTTGCAGATAAAAACAAAATGCTGTAAATTTTCAACTTTAAACCGAAAAACGGTTTGTAAAAACCGACCTCTATTTTCGGATTTTACGCAATCAAGTTGTATTTAACAATATCCGAAGTGCAAATAGGTCAGTTTGCTGCGTCATTATAATGTAATATTAAACCCTTGACGATACTTTTTAATGAAAACATAAATAAGTTTAGAGTTAACAAAGAGCGCATTCTTTGATGAAAAATGAAGTCTTTGGAGTAACAATACAAGGAAATCAATCATAAATGTAACAAAAACTCACCTTGAAGGCATTTCTGAATTTATTCGACATAATGTTGTAGAGGAACGGGTTGATGGCGGTTGACAGGAAATATAGCACTCCTGATAGGAATGTCAGCACGATGTAAACCTGCACACACACAAAAAATATACCAACATCATAAATTATCAAACTGCGGACTAATCTATAGACAAAGGGATCTAGGATCTGATCAAATAAATCACGAAATTATGGGAACCTACTTCATCTATTTTGGTATTAAAATCTAGTGAGTTATCTTAATTGACCTTAAGATATATACCGACTACATTATATTACCTTTTCATAAGAATAATAAGATGCAGCGAAATGCACTACAAAAAAAAGGGACTTCATTTAAAAATATGATGATAAACTTAAATAAATACAATACAAAACAGAAACCCATTTCATTGTCAATTTCCTCAAATCTGATCAGCTACGTCATAAAACCATTCCTATAATAATAATATCTTAACTTACTTTATAAATAAAAAAATAAAGATTTACCAAGTAGAAAGTATCTGAAGGGTGTTCTAAACTTTTCCCGTAGATGGCCAGCAACCTTTGCACGTGGAAGGGCGCCCAACAAATGAAGAATGACAGCGCCACCGCAACTGAAGGAAAAAGAATGCTTACAAATATAGTGGACCACAAATCTTAATGTAACTGGACATACGGGTCAACGACACAGATATTGTTTCACTAGATTAATCTTATATTTTTTTGTTTTTTTTTTCTTTTTTAAAAAACGTTGGATTAGGATTTTCCCCTGTGTCGTGGGTGCGGTTACAAACATACAATTTCACATACACATGACACCCAGACCCGGAACAACAATTTGTGGATCACACAAAGAATTGTTCCGTGCGGGAATCGAACCCGCGACACGTTGCACGGCAGCCAGTTGCCCAGCCACCGCACCAAACGTGCAGTCAATGAATGACAAAATCGAAATTATTCAATTTACAAACATTCTAGCTTTTGTCTGCGACTTTGTTCGCATGGAATAATGACTTCCTGCAGATTTTTGGTTTAAAAACTGCCCAATGTCCTTTCTTGATTTCCAAACTACGTCTATATCAAAATTTGACACAAATCGGTAGAGTAGGCGGTAGGTCGGCGTGAAGGAAATACAGACAGAGCTACTTTCGCATTAATGTATAATATTAGTTTCAATTCTATTATAGCTTCTAGATGTTAATAATTGTTTTAATAGTTGGTGAATAATATTAAGACTTCTACAATCTTATTATACTATTCTTTCGCACTCTAAAAACCCTTTCAATGTAAAAAAATATGGAAGGATTCAGAATCTTAGCCACGGCTAATCACGGGTTCATGTTCGAAAATCGTTGCGGTATCTAGTCACTTACATATCTGTGGTATTTTGATAGATAGGTACTCCTTGGACATTCTAGTCAATGCTAAGTTACGTTCTCTTTAGAGAATTAATAAAATGAATTTGTCCATGGACTGAAGATAACATCCCCATATAACTCGCATTGAGAAAATAACTGCAGCAATGAAATTCATTAACGTCAATGCATGTTAGCTTTTATTTGTTTACCTACTAATTATGTTACTAATCTAAAACTTTTAGATGCAGGAAAATTCGATTTATCATTTAATCACAGTAATTCGAGATTCAAGACACAAAAGGTGTGTGTTCGCTTGGGGTTTGGTGGATTAATACGTAATTAACAGCTTCATATGAGTTTTGAAAGTTATTAAACGAGTTGGAAATGAAAACATGAAATTAACAGTCCTAAGTAAAACAATTCTGATTAACGCAAGTGTTGTTTGTTTAGGATTACACATAAATGGTTTCTCATCACATTTCCACAATCTTGTGTGTAATGGCCGCCTCTGATGTTTAAGTTATCGCCCTTCGTGTAGTTTATGTTTTCATGTAAATAATAATATACAGTGGTCATTTAATATTTGTTTTTGGTTCTCTGTGCGTTTTCCGGCATCTAGGTTTACTAAATATATTTAGTCTATTCATATGCCGGCGTCGTTGTACCTGTTGTTTTGGCTATGGGATTTTGATATTACTTATTAACTGATATTAGGTATTGATTTAGCTTACTTACTTACTATTGGCCTAGAGTTGAAACGTACTAACTATATTTTTTTGATTTTTTTAGGAAAACGAATACAAACTAGTGTTCCTATTTTTTAATGAAATATAAACTAGTGTTTCTACAAAAAATGTTTTTTGTTTAAATACTGACAATATTTTTGTATCGAATTCCAAATAAAACCAAGCACACCGAGTCTCTATCTAGTCTAAGGCAAATTTCAATTCAGTTTGAAAACACCATCGCGATGGAATATCGAAAAACTATAGAATACACAATTTTACACACAGAACGTTGTCTTTGAACTTTTTTCATCAATTTTTTTACAACCGCATTCAGTTCTCGTGTCTATAATCAAAATTATGGATACCCACAAAAACTCTTCGCCAGTCATCATTGATATAAAACACCAAACTACGTGTTTCGAATAGCAAAAATATTTTATTACCTACATTTGTTACGAAACAAGTACCTACAGGAAATTAGGGGCTTCGAAAACTAGAATTTTGTTACAACAAAAAATTTGATGTTAATCCAACGATCAGATGAACACAGCTGATATGAAAACCTGCTTTCAATAATTTACACTCCATAGAAATATGATACTATAAATTAATTAACTGCGGTTGTGCATGTGCTGTTTGTAGAAAAAGTAAGGTTTTATGGGATAGTTTTAAGTGTGGGAGACGAATGAGTCGGCTCAACCGGAGTGATACCACCGCCTAACCGACGTGAACCACAGCGCTGTGTTTTGCCGTGTGAGTGAGGTTACCAGAGGCCCAATCGAAGTTTCCATATCCCTAGTTTGCCGTCCTATTACATAAAAGAAAATAGTTAGACAAATTAACAAATGGGTCACCTGGTGGTAAGCCATCTTCATCGCCCATGGACTCGTAACACCAAACACAAAGATTTAAGGACTAAGGGAAGATTTGGTCCTCCGGTAACCTAACCCACATGCCGAGTCGAAACACAATATAAATGTTGTTTCACGCGGAGGCACTGTCTAAAGGTGAATTATTATTATCACATTACAATGTGCCGTAATTGACGACAATTTGTTCATTTACTGTAGCTGTGTAAGTGTGTATAGTTTTTATTTAAGTAAGTATCATTTGTAATCGAAACACTACTGCCCAGGATAATTATGAAAATTTTTGATGCTGCACGAAATCTGTAAAAGCAAAATTATATTTTACTAGCCGTCCCTCGAATACGATTTTTTTTCTTTAATTAGGTCATATTCTCTGTCCTTTTAAACTTTCCCTGTATATCCAGCAACATTTCAAGACCACAATAACCCATGTCGCTTCAGCCTTTCTCGAGTTTTAGCGAGACTAACGAACAGCGATTAAAAACGCGAAAACCTTGATAAAATAATAAAAAATATTATGTAGGTAAATATTTGACAATATATTTTGAAAAAAAATAGAAATTAGCATTTTGTTTACTTATACAAATTAGTTGATAACACAATTTAAACATGATGTTTTAAAGATAAAATCATGCATTTAGCTAACACAAAAACATAACAATTTGATTTTATCAGATAAATATCTGTTCATCTCAATGATAATCATATTTCCGCTTGAAGGTAATTTAGATCGAATATCAGCCGAAACGGTAGTTGTATGTTTATTAAATGTTAAAATATTTTTCAATAGGATTAGTGTCAAATAAATTTATTAACACTTCTAAGTCATTGCTCACGCCAGGTTCGGAGATTCAAATTATTATGAGATTAGATTGAAATGGAATTGTGGAATTGTGTGTGAACTTTTCATTAGAATCATACCCAAGAAACTACTTAAAACGACCGTTGTCAATCTGCCTCTTAAGAGAGTTATTTGACACGAATTTTAAGTATTGACTTTAATTTGTTTCAGACATAGTTGCTATCTTAAAGTACATTATGTGTTAAGTATATGTACTTTAAAGTACTTAAATATTAAGATAAAAATAAAGATTCATTCATTTAGCCACACAATGACACATACCTATATATACTAATCCTTAAAAGTCATTTGGTAAGTGATTTTGAGTACCTACCTAACCAATTGGTAAAATTCAATCAACATTTTATCTTATATAATTATAGCTTGTCTTGTGACTAATATCATACATAATCACAATGTTTAAATACATAAAAAAAACAATAATAAATCACTACTACCACAAATCATTTATACCTACCTACATGGTTGTGTACTGTCTTGACATTGGATTTGACCCTACGACCCTGAGTTCAGACGCTTAATAATCAGCTACTGAGCCCAAATAAAGATGGAACTTGAAACAGGTTATAATCAATTATTTTAAATACAAGACAAGAAAACCACGCATGGTTATTACCTACCCTAATCGAGTATTATCTATTAATACTTAGATGTCAATTTAATCCTATTGTGTTAATTTGAACGAATACATAACTATCCAACGAGATTCCTCGACGAGTTTCAAATCATGTTAAGGGTTTATAATCATGACGTGACATTTCCACGTCCTGGTCATATAACTTTTTATTATTTTGAAATCACCGAATTTTCGAATTTTAAATTTTTATTAATTAAATGCTCATTTCATGTCCATGTGAGTAGTGACCTTTATGCAGCAGCGAGACATTATAATGTAATTATTTAAAACGTACGTTTAATCCACAAAAGATAAATAATAGAAATTTTTTCCTATTCTATATACCCTATAGTGTGGGATAAGTCTATTATTAAACACTAGCGTATTACCAGGGTCCATTCTGTTGCAGAGAATTTTCTAAATTGAACATTTTTATTATTTGCTTGAACCCAAATTGAAATCGAAGTCTGAAACGCCTGTGTTGCATTTAAATGTAATTTTATACACTTGATACTATACTATATTTTAAATGTTTCCCCTACAAGGAAACATGGAAAGAAAGTAGGTACTCTTGGTCGCTCAATTCTCTTGTTACACGCTTAATTTGTTTCTACCCGGCTCCAGCATCCAAAGTTAAATTAGTTGTCTGTTTATCCATAATTTTAGTATTGTGTATTTTGGATTTATTGCCAAACAGAGAATTTGCTACTATTTTATATACAAAAATAATTTCCGTTATTTTCCTTATAACGATAGCTACTAAATTTACTCGTGTTTCCGTGAATTTCGTTAAAAATTGCCCACAGCGATGTACGAAACTGGTAATTTAATACGACTAGTTTATTTTTAGTTCGGTAAAAATTGGCACTTTTTTTCGTTCACTATGAACGAGGACAAAGCCTATGTTGCCTTTAAAATGTCGCTTCAACCCATTACAACGTGACATAAAAAGCTCTTAACGGTCTCCACCACTTGTTTATTACATACAGCGGTAATTACATTGTGATTTATTAATATTTTAAACACTTTATTGTCGTTATAACTCAAACTCTTTGAGCGACAAAGCAACTGGTTATAACTGGATTAGATTTCTGTGCAGATTTTGTTACAGATACTGTTGTCCTATGTTAATGTGTTAATTTGATTAGTATTGTTATTCCTATATATTTTGTATGTAAAAC